ATTCCTGCGAATGTGGTCTTCAATAGAGGGCCCCAGTTCATGTTGCAAGTTTGCATTCTGCTTAGCCCTAGGAGCCATAGTCAGGTTGTCCTCTAGATACCACCCACAAACCAATGGCCAAGTAGAGAGAGCAAACCAGCTTTGAGGTGTGTGACTGCTGCCAACCCCTCCTCTTGGAGCAACCATCTGCCATGAGTTGACTATGCCCATAATACCCTGGTCAGCTCAGCTATGGGTCGGTCTCCTTTTGAGGCCTTACTGGGGTATCAGCCACCCCTGTTTCCTTCTGAAGCTGGTCAAATCAATCTGGCAGTGGTGGAAAGTGGGTGAAGTTGTGCCAGAACTTTCTGCTGTAAGTCACAGAAAGTAACATTTATTCAAGTATTGTCCATCCATCTATCTTCTTCTGCTTATCCGGAACCAGGTCACGGGTGCAGCAGTCTAAGCAAAGATGCCTAGACTTCCCTCTCTCCAGACACTTCCTCCAGCTCCTTCGGGGGAATGCTGAGGGGTTCAGCCAGGAGACATAGTCTCTCCAACATGTCCTGGGTCTGCCCCGAGGCCTTCTCCCGGAAGGGACATGCCCGGAATACCTCCCCAGCGAAGCGTCGAGGGGGCATCCTAAACAGGTGCCTGAGCCACCTCAACTGGTTCTGCTCAATGTGGAGCAGCAGCGGGTCTACTCCGAGTTCCTTATGGGTGACTGAGCTCTGCACCCTATCCCTAATGGTGCGCCCAGCCACTCCAGAGGAAACTCATTTCTGCCGCTTGTATCCGCAATCTCATTCTTTCGGTCATGATCCAAAGTTCATGGCCATACGTGAGAGTAAGAACATAGATCAACCAGTAAATCGAGAGCATCACTTTGCAGCTCAGCTCCTTCTTCACCACAACCAACCGGTACATCAACCGCATTACTGCAGAAGCTGCACCGATCCCCCGGTCAATCTCCCGCTCCATCCTTCCCTCACTTGTGAACAAGACCCCAAGATACTTGAACTCCTCCACTTGAGGCAGGAGCTCTCCACCAACCTGAAGGGAACAAGCCACCCTTTTCTGATTGAGAACCATGGCGTCAGACTTGGAGGTGCTGATTCTCATCCCAGCTGCTTCACACTCGGCTGGCAACCCTCCCCTCCTGCTCCAGTCGTACAGGGACCGGACAGCCCTTAGCAAAGGGCCCCGGACCCCATACTCCCAGAGCACCCCCCACAGGGCGCCGCGAGGGACACGGTCGAATGCCTTCTCCAAATCCCCAAAACACATGTGGACTGGTTGGGCAAACTCCCATGAACCCTCCATCACCCTGAAGAGGGTATAGAGCTGGTCCAGTGTTCCACGGCCAAGACGAAAACCGCATTATTCCTCCTGAATCTGAGGTTTGACTAGTATTGCACCTTAATAAAATTTTGAGGTATTTGTACTTGAGTATCTTGATTTTTTGTTACTTTATGCTTTTAACCCTTGTGTTCTGTTAAGGATCATAAAAATTATGCTCTACTACAATCTGCCTAAAATTACCCACACTTTTAACCAGATGCAAGAAATCATTTACACATTAATACAATAATGATCCAATAATATCCATTAATTTGGTTTTTGCATTAGTGCTTTTAATTTTGGTACCTCAGTTATTTTTTATGTTAATACTTTTGTAATATGTTTTCCTTGAAGTTACAGCAGGTAACTTAAGGTAGTGCTAGCACAGAATGTGCAAAGAATAAATTAATAGGATAACAGCCACCAAGCACTCCCTCTCCCTGCTCCATTATGCTCTACTACAATCTGCTACGCTCTGCCTAGCTCTTCAGAAATATCATTATGAGATTACAATAAATTAGAATAAAACAAAACTTAATGATCAAGCAGAAATAATCGAAAATTTCTGATTTGTTAGAGAAGTCAATCCCACTCAAAACCTTTTAAAAGCTAATATCTCTGCACTGCTGCCAGTGCTGTTCAATGAGTCTGGGTCACAGGAGGCTTCGACAGCACCTCTCCACAATCTGACAAGTTTTTGAGCATATTTCTACAGCAAAAAATATTTGAAAAAGTTACATACTGTAGCTTTAAGTAAATATTTTGTGTACCAATGTTATCTAGTGTATTATTTATTGTCAGGTGCGCACATGAAATTAAGCTATGTGTCTGATCAAATATCAGTTTTTGCAAGTAAATGATCTATCCAGTGTGAGGAAAGGAGAACTATACGTATGTAGGAGAGGGAAAAGCTTCAAGCAATGAGCAGTGGTTTTTGAGGACACGAGTTACAATATACAAAAGTAAGCATTTCTATAATGACAATGTGCAAATAACAGTGCAGCATTGAAATAGGATGATATTACGTTGATGATGTTTCACCACTATACACTATAACAGCAACATGTTTTTGGATTGACAGTAGATTGTGTGGTCTTTGGTGTTTTTGCCTCACAGTAGAGGTATCATCTCTTGCTTTTTTTGGTGGCACTTCCTGTCTGGACAGTGGAGGTGTCCTGATAGTGGAGGTCTAGTGAAAGCAACTCCACAGAGAAAGTTTCAAGCCAGATCCTCTTAAAAATACCTGTATTCTTGCCTCTGGAAGTTCTATTTTTTTGGCAAGGCGTTCTCGGGCAAACACATCTGGATAGTGAGTCCTTTCAAATTCTGGAACAAAAACACAATGCCATTACATAATAATATTTCTGCCATGTCAAATTGATATACATCAAGATGATAAATACAGAATAATGATAACAAAGAAGCAATGATTTACAGCATCTGTAATGACGTGCTGTGAGAGGTTTGTCATGGCATTTTAAGGCCCATATCAAACCAAGTCAACAGTTGGTCTTCAGCCACTGTCAGGTTATCAGCGTGCATTTGCCACCTTATTTTTTGCAGTGTGTCTGTTGGCACTACTAGGACCCTGTTGGTGGCTTTTCAGCTTATTCAGCATGTTGAATTACTGGCGGACCCTGTTGGTGAGAGAGACCACTCTGATTGGTTGTTTAGCTTAGTGAATCAATGTAAGAGAAGTAAAAGGTTTGGTTAAGCCCCTTGAGCCTGTCACTATAGTAACCAGGATTTCAACCATTTAGGGCAGTTAGTCCATTTACCACTTTCAGACTCAGGGCTGACAATGCCAGAGCCATTTGTAACTTCTTATTAGAAATATTCTCAGTTAGAAGTAGCCATAAACCATTTGTTGTCATGTCCGCAGCTGGCACCTCCGCCCCCTCATGTGCCAGTAGCCAGTCTAGGCAATGAGGCACGCCTTGCACAGCTGTGGACAATTGACCTTCTTCTTAAGCTGCTTGCTGGCGTGTCCTCATTGCCAGATCGTTGTGTCTACCCGAAGATCTATGATCGTGGCTTGTGTTTTCCTGTCTTCACTCTTGTGTGCTCTGCTCACTAATTCCACAACGGCAACTGAATGACTCTGCACTTCCTGCCTTTGCCCCGTGTGCTTCACTCACTACTCCTCAACGCCTACAGACAACACCCCCTCTCTGGCTTCATCTGAGCTAAGTGTGCTTCATTCGCTGTTCTCTTTGACTGTCACTAAAACCTCTTCCTTCACGGTTTCACTCCAGCCAAGGTTGTCACTCTCATCACTGCCCTGTGCGAAGTCTACTTTCCTGATTATCATCACTACTCATCTCCTCCTGGTTCCTTCCCCAGTTCAGTGAGCCTCCCCCTTCTATCCTTAACATTATCAACTGTGCTAATTCATCTCTCTGTACCAGTCTCCACTGATAGCCCCATCCAGATCCACCGGTCTACAATCTATCTATTCCCACCTCCACACCCAAATACGCTTACACGCACACACCTTCCCTCTGCAACAACATCTCCTCACGTATACTCAATCCTCATTACTCCCCATTTTGCCCTGACTCTTTTTCCCTAGTCCCCCTCACCCATGACTGCTGGTCACCTCTGACTATCTCCCAGCCACTCAGTCATGGTGCTCTCTTCTACTCTGCTTGTAGCTGCTGTATCTGATCAGTTCCCTGGTTTGTTGTGCCTGAGTTTACACATTGGGTCCCCCACTGCTTCCTGCTCATCAAACCTAACATCTGTGGTTAGCGAGAGATGTTTTGTTTACAGTTTGTATATCCACAGTGTAAGTCATCCACTATCCCTTTCTGAATGACAAATACAGACTACCACCAGCTGCTGGAATGGAGAGTTATTTCCTCTTACACAGGCACAGAATGTACGTGCTAGTTGGATGTTGGCTGCAGTCTTTGCAGTCTGTTCAAGTGCCACTTGTCAGCCCCAGTGAAGGTGACTCAACACTCAGCCTTTGTCGCCTGTAGGTCTTGATGTCTCTCTGTCCTAACAGATATTTCACATTCAGTATTTCAATGAATTTATATCTGGGAAACTGCACAACTTGCATTATGATCCAAATGAGACAACACCAACAACTCAGTAGTTAGGTAATGTAAACTAGTCTCTGCTAGGGCACTTTTTATCCTTTTTGACAGATAGCGCAATCTGTGGGGTCCACACTCGCACCGTGGCTGGAATCATATCCACCACGTGTTAGGTTTGCCCGGCTGCGCCTGCCTCTCTCACCTCCCTCACTTTGTTTCTCTTTTCCGGCCCATGATTACACCACCTTGCACACCTGCTCCATACCCCTTGATTGTCACCAGCTGCACTCCATTAGTTGCCCCTTACTTATACCCAGCTCACCTACCACTCCCTTGTCAGTTTGTACTCATTCCAAGGCCCTATCTTTTGCATTGTTGTTTGACCTTAATCTATACTCTATTCTCCTTGTTTATCATCATTAGTATTGGACTCGCTGTCGGCATGCTCACCCCATGCTGTCTTTTTCCTCCACGGCCTACTACCTCTGGACCTTGATTCCCTTCAACCCTTCCAATCTCCACCTGTCAGGTTGATGCACAGTCACCAGCAATCATCTGTACAAACTCCTGTTTTCTGTCTCCTCAGCCACCTCCACTTTCCACCGACCAGCCCAGGAGTGACCCCAGCAACGCAGCTCAGCTTACTCCATCACCTCATCCCTGAACTGTACTCTGCTGCTGATCGACACCCAGTCTTCTCACTTCATGTACGCCTGCCTGTTTTTGCCATTCACTGCACTGTTCATAATAAATCACTGCTTGCACTGAAGTCAGCTATCAGAGTCCGCCCATCTTTTGCTCGAAAGGCTCTGTGTCATGCTCTATTGATTCATCTCACACCAAGTATATGTGTTTTTTTTTTCCACATTTCAGCACCAGTCTTGGCCAAAAAGACACTTTTTGTAGCTTAGTCCATACAGGCATGGCTGAAATGTTTTTACATAAAGAAAGAAATAACTCAACAACATATGGATTATGTGTTTATGAGAATGCATATAATTGTAATATGTGTAAGAAAGATAACAGTAGAAAAACAATGAGTGATGGTGGTTGCAGTCACTGGCTGGGTGTGGACCAAGAGTGAACCAAAAGATAACACAACAGTTCCAACTGACAACTGTCCAAAGATCAGAGAGAGTGACCACTGGTAAAAAGGACAAGTCTGATTGGAGAAGAGAAGGTGGCCTAACTCAGTGGTCCCCAACCCCCGGGCCGCGGACCGGTACCGGTTCGTGGATCAATTGGTACCGGGCCGCACAAGAAATAATTAATTATTTCCGTTTTATTTATTATCTGAGTCTGAACGATCTTTTATTTTGAAAAATGACCTCTTTCTCTCGGTTACATCTCGGTCACTTGAGCGCCAAAACTGGCTTACTTGT